ACAATATAATGCAGGATTTTAGAAATACACATTAATAACATGGCCTTAATTAAAATGTTATTTGTTCAGATTTTTGAATACCAGAAACTCACTTGCGATTACTACAATTGTATATTTTGCAGTTAATACCTTATTTAATGTGACGAGACTCGGGCCAGAAGGCCCGCTCTTCCTTCTGATAACGCAAATTTCGCTACGTTCCTTTTACCATCTAGGGGAGAAATACGTTATTACTCGGTCAACGAAACAGGCAATTTGAATGTAGCTTAGAGTCTTTAGGCTTGAGGTTATTTTAGAGGCCGTAAATATACATCACGAGACAGCCAGCTTTGCTTCCCCTCCAAAGGAAGGCGTACAAAAGATTTTTCCTCCCTTAGAAAAATCTACAGCTTAATCGGTTTTGAACCCGCAAACTTGCGTACAATGGCCCGATTAACTAACAGTTATGCTACCTAAACCTCAGTAACATCTATCTTCGCAGTTCGAAATCCATTATATTTTTATCAGATTTAATTGTTACTTCTTTATATAAACTGGGAGGCATTTTCAAACTTTCTGGTTTCTTACAAATTTTATTTGCACAAGAATGTTACAAAAAAGAAAGCATTTTACATTGAAGAATAAGGAAGTTTGATTAAAAAATAAAGGTTCAAAGAAATCGTGCTGCAATTCCGAGATAAATTGCCTCTGACGATTCTTTGTAACGATTCCCTTCACTTTCTTTCGGTATCTTAGGTGGTTTAAGGCATCAAATGATGTCACTACAGGGCCTCTAAGTGGGGTATATTGAGGTCTGAGACCAGTTGTCGGCAGAATTTTGACACCATCTAGATAGCTAGGTCGAATTTTCCCACTGGAGGAGAATTCTAATGGCCGGTTGCTCTGATCATTAGTATTTTGCTCCCCGTTTTCTTCGATTAACTTCAGGCGAATACCAAATCAGTACCCTAGTAAACATGTCAAGGATAACGAGCTATTCTTCTTCCTTTCCCTATGCTCACTCCTTACTTAGAGACACTTATACTTATGTCTACATGCAGAACAGTAGTAGCTTAGAGCTTGTGGCTGGAGCGGTGACGCGCTGGTGGGAGATAGCACTTGGGAAATACCACGCAGGCCGACGTGTAGGTCGGCGTGGGATCTCGGCATCTATAGGGCGTAAAATACATCCTTCTTCCACAACGCTTGTTGCCCCCGAAAATACTAATCATCAATCAATGCGTGATTATCTCAACATAAATTTCACTTTAAAAATTATTTTGAAACATTAGAAAGATTTAAAGTCACCCAGGGAATGGGCTAGATTATTATTTTCGTAAAATATTAGAAAATCGCTGACTTTCGGCGCACACTTACAATATTTTATCTTCATCCGTTGTGAGACAAGCAAGAAAAACTGAGACCGTTAGGGACGTCTCCGCGTCCATCCCCATCTGGGTGAGGTTTTTCGTGCAGTTTCTCTGATCCGTCGAGCGAATGCTGAGATGGTCCTTGTTTTGCTTCTGGGTGTAAATGTAACTTCACTCTATGTACACGTCTTTTAGAGTTATGTGGGCAATAGAGTTATTCAAATTATAATTTTCCATGTTCCCACGGCAGAAGTTCTCCTCGCTTCCTTCACGAAGGGCACGATGATGGACACTGTAGCTGGTTTCCCTCTGCAAATAGTTTTTATGATACTGGAATGATTTTTTTATCAATTCTTACCAACATTGCTCATTTTCTTCTGTATTCAAAATTCCACTTGTTAGGTTAGGTATACTAAAATTTAAGAAAACAGTTTTAAGTGTTTTAACGTTCTAATACATTTTTGAAAGGATATGTAACCCCGGAACATGAGTAGTGGAAACCTGTCAACGTTGGGTTCCAGTATATAGATATTTTCACTTTTAAAACTTATTTATAGAGATAGATATGTTCCCTCTGGTTCAGCTAGTTATTTTGATTCAATGAGTGGAAAATAGTTAGAGTGTTTAAAATTTGTAGTTGAGGGAAAAAATCAGAGGCAATCTCCTGGCAAAGGGTCTATCGACGGAAAGGTAGTTTTAAGAAAACCTAATTGCAAGTTTGTACCAATTTTATTTAATAGCATTGCTATTTAATAGCAATTTTATTTAATAGCATAGTTTATTTTGAATGTGATCTAAGGATCACAATATTGCTATTCTATAATGTAAAAAAGTGTATCATACACATTAAGATGCATTCATGTAAATATCCATTTATGCACAGGATCACAGCAACCATCGGTCCATTCGCAGCAACCATCATGCCATTCGCAGCAACCATCAGTCCATTCGCAGCAGCCATCATGCCATTCGCAGCAACCATCAGTTCATTCGCAGCAGCCATCATGCCATTCGCAGCAACCATCAGTCCATTCGCAGCAACCATCAGTCCATTCGCAGCAACCATCATGCCATTCGCAGCAACCATCAGTCCATTCGCAGCAACCATCAATAAAATCTTGCCCGTCAGAACGACCCTGCCCATCAAGGGATCCGTCAGTCAGATCAGGCACAGGAGCTGCAGGTGAGGAAAGCTATTTTAATTTGTGTATGATATTTTTTCTTATTCTCTGTTAATATTGATAGTTTTTACTGATCAAGTTTGATACAAAAATTTGCTTGAAATAAAAATTTACCCTCAAAATGAGGAAAATTAGTAACACAAATTGTGTGTTTATCACTCACAAGCACATAATCTATTCATTTATAGTGTCAAAAGAGCATGCCACGCATCACGGCAGTCAATGCAATCAGCTGACTTTTCTTGAAGTGAGAAGTTTAGAAGCTCCTAAACATTACGATTCTTGAAATATCTTAAATATAGTAGTGCACTTTTATAGTATATAGTTATAAGAATACGTTCCAGTTACCGGAGCAGTTTCTTTTTTCAGTGGTATATTTTCTAAATAAGTACATTTTATTGTTTCCTTTTGCGCACATATTATGTTTATTTTGGTTTTTTTCATTTACAAACTATTTTGCATATTGTATATTATACATAGAAATATGTATAAAAAATCCACCCACTCTTCACCATTTTCACAAAGTAATTAACACCTACGACTTAAATCTGGATGCTTAAACTTATTGCTTCTTTGTCTAAAGATTTTTATACGCCGTGTTAAATATTATGATTCACAGAGATGGTGAAGAGTTTGCTAAAACTAGTTTGCTAAGAAATAGTTTTAAAACGTTTTATGCAGTACCTTCTTGCAAATAAAATTCTAGTTTAATTCTCTATCCAAGTGAACTCCTCTGTATTTCACTGTGATTTCTGGGAGAACTGCTTGGTTCTTGTATCGTAGAACACTATATTAGTTGAGAGTAAATGTCCCTCGAGTTGATTTAGTGTCCTTCACTTTAATGTGCCAAAGTTTCTGACATATATTAATGAACTTTAAATGGTTCTGGTGTAATTTGAAGAAGTGGTTTGATTGTCATTCTAAGACAAAAGAGCATTTCATCAGCAATCATCGCTCTAAATGTGCAGTGAGTCAACGGTAGGTCTGATCTGATTGGTCGAAACGGACGTAAGCCAGTTGCTTTTGGCGATAATGAAGTATGATCGTTTCAGAATTTTACTACGCAATGACCGTAAAGTAGGCTTTCAGTGATAAATAAAAAGGGGCATCTTTTTTTAGTTTACGAAGAAGTTATAAATGGCATTTGTAGGAATTTTCATTGCAAAAACGAATGTGACCTGGAGCTTGATGTGACGCTAGTACAGACATAAGTTAAGTTAAGCCGTGGCGGAGGGAAATAAATGAGAGTTCAAGAAAACTATGTTTAATTTGAAAATGTCATTGTTTTCGTAGTACTCAGCAAAATTAAAATATCCGTTTTCAATTCGAAGGGTAGCGACATTAGTCCGATCGATCAGGGAATGTGAACTTTGGACGAACACACAGAGAGATAAATTGCTGAAAACTACTTTTCAAGTCTCCACAAGACGTGAATTCTGACTACACAACGTTATAAAGAAATAACTTTACTACATTTTGAAGAATGGACTGTTTTTGAATTGTAAAATGATACGATTTTTATTTTAAAAGTACTTTTTCGTAGGAAAGTGATTAAATTATCAAGAGTTATATGCGTATAAATGACGAGAAAATAGGTTTTGTTCAATAAGCCACTCCAATAAGACAAATCTGAAACAAATCAGTAGTAAAGAACACTACAATACCAATTTGTAAACATTTTCGGAGACGGTACCACAAAAATAAAACATAGACAAATACCGAATAATAATTTAATATTTTTTTAAAATTTGAATTTACCGCCAATTTTTTTAGGGAAAGCTCCCCAAGATATGTATAGATGTCAACAATGTCTTATTTTTTTTTTAAATTTTATCTATGAAGAATATTTTATTATGAAGACATTCAGAAATCGAAAACACTGGAAAATATTTCAAAAGTTGGCGCATATAAAATATACAAATCATTTGTCTCTATCATCCACCCTTTTTTAGATATACTCTTTCAACCATTTACATTTCAGTAGATTCTGTTTCAGTAGTTTTTATGGAGTACTAATGTACGTAGAATTAGCTGGCCCACCTAAGATGTTTCCTTCAGTTTTTTCTTGAATCGTTGCAGATACTGAGATGCGGTTTTCGCTAAAACTACTGTATGCAAGGGGCACATATGATCGTGCATAACATTATTCTATTGCATTTTTTATTGCAGAGATATTGATCCAACTTCGATTTTTAAGTGGAACCCTATAGATTTTTTTAGCTCATCATTACAAGCGTGGAGACCGAGTTCATAAATATGCATATCGCCATTTGTTACAGAAGAAACTTTTTGGGAAATTAAGAGTTTTAAACACGCACGCCCACTGCTGGTTTCCGTAATCTGAACGAGAAATTACTCGACTCTAGAAATTTGTCTAAGTCGTTGCCGAATTCTTTCATGAGTTTTTTCATGAATCACAATTTCATCTGAAGCGTGAGTGAAGGTGGCATGGTCATTGTCAAGGTCAATCATGGGTATAGGAAGGTATATTCTAGTTTTGATTGGAATTTTTTTCTTTACTTGTTGGTGCTTTCTATCTTTACCACCCTACTCGCAGATAAAACATCAGCACTTGTTATAGCCTGTCAGACATTTCCAGGAGAAAGGTGATGATTTTTAAATCGACATACAAGTAGATACACTATTTTTACTCCTGATATATTTTTTTCAAGAAGTAACGAGATAGTTTCACGTGTCCTTTCAGGTGAGTCGAATATCTACCCATAATACTTCTTTCAGACTTGTTTTAGGTGAGTCGATGAACAGCCACAATGTTTCTATGTTGTGTTCCACCCCGAGGCTTGTCCAGAGACCTTGAACGTCCGCACAGTAGAAAATACTGTCACTCATTGCAAAGTAATGCGATATGTGATATTGAAAATGCTTTAAAATATTGCTTTAAATATCAATTTTTTTACAGACAACGAAAATATTGTGTAGTTTTGCATGAAAAATATAAAAAAACATTAGGATAAAAAATTGATGAACGGTTTTTCATGAAAATTATTTTTTGTCGATGCATTAAAAATCTGACGTGACAGAGCAAAACAGTTTTCAGACTTGAAATCAACATAAAGAACTACATTGGAAAAGGTTAGCACAATGCCAGATACCTATAGCTTGTTTGTTTGCGAAATTTGCATTTTCTCTGATATCTTACAAAATAATCATGCTTCCGGTCTCAGATTTTGGGAAAATGACTTTCAAAACAACACTAAACATCCCATCAACTCAAAATTAAATTAAGTTTGGGGACATTTTGAACCTCCTTATCGGTATTACAGCCTTGGAGTTAAATGATACCAGCGCGACAAGTCCGTAAACAAGTTCTTAACAAATACTCCCATTAAATTCGAAATTGTGACGAATATTAACGATAAATCATTAGACATTTTATAATCGACTGTCTGACATGGCTGTTACAGCTTGACACAGCTAGTTCTGTAGGTATATGCCGTTAATGAGATCGTCGCCAGGCGATTTTCTTCGGTGAATTTATTTCAAGTATCTTTTATTTCTGAAGATTTGAACGTCTTGATAAGGAAGGGCAACTGCAAAACGGAGAAGATAAAGTCAGTAATTTCTGTTTCATTATCTTTTCATTGTCATTGAAATGGCTTGAAATAGTTTTTCAAATATTCTCCGATCGTCTATTGTTTGTCAGGTCAGTGAATTCTCTACATGACATGCACTAAAATATCACATTACTAACTGTTCTTCCTATCGATGATTTTGCGAACGTCGAAATTCAAATATATTTCCATCTTCGAACCTGGAGCTGATTAGGTGCTCATATGCTCATATACAGCGCAGCTGATTTTTTTTAAATTTTTTATTTACTTAGCCAAAGGTTAGTGTGCTATTTGTTGCAGTGCGCACCCAATTTTACGTCTTACTGCTATGTGTAAGTGACTGGTGTGGGTCAATAGCCAAATCGGCTTTTGTGTTGTACAACACCCTTAGAATATCAGAGGAGAGCTGAAATCTGCTTTCGTTGACTCCTGATATATGTCTTACTAACAGAGCTTATAAACAAAATTTTACTAGCAATGCATAAACTAATGGAAAGTTTGCTTGTATTCAGTACAATTGAACTAATGTATGCATTTATTTTTAAATTTTGGCTTCAAAAAAATTACTTTTATCCGTATGTTCAAATCATTTGTAAGAATAAAAAGATTTTTAGTGAACTTTGAAATCAACTAAGGCTACATTTCAATACAAATAAGAGCTCCTGAAGACGAGACCAAATCTTAGGTCTTGAAACGTCGAGAAATAAGTGAATAAACGAATGTTAATAAATAGATATTAAGCCAGTATATATAATTTGATGTAGCTAATAATAGATACAAAAAATAATACGCAGGAGACCAAATAGAATTTTATCAGTTTCTCTGTTACTGGATCAGTTCAAGGAAATATATGAATATTACATGCGAATGCTGAATGTTTAATGCAAGCGTCTCTTTCACCCCTCCTGTAAGAATACACAAGTTTTAAATGAAAATATATTTTTGTAATAAAATATCCCAACGAAATAACAAAGCCAATATTTATGTATATTAAAAACCTGAAACAATTCGAATTTAATATAAATATAGATGAGAGTCTAATCATCAATTGAAGCAAAGTTACTTTGGAATTGAAATCTATCAATATCACACTTGCAAATAAACAATTTTCTGAAAATACTACTGAAAGATCGCGGGTTGGAGTCCCGCCTCGGGCATGGTTGTACTTTATGTTCGTCCCCTCGTCCCCTGCCATCACCATATCATGTCATCTTCAGTTACAATACGTTATGGTACAATACTGATAAATGCAATAGTGATCGCTAATGACCTGGATGTTGATGCGACCTTAAATAACAACAAAAAACAACACAAATCTGCACATCGTTTCTCTTTGAAAATGTTTTCTGTTGCTTGGGAATGAATTACGTTATATAGTTTCCAAATACTGTCAACAATGCTTATTGGTAACTTTATTTGTACGGATCCTGAGGGTCAAGGAAACCTGATCGGACCCACCTCCATGCGTTACGTAGCGTTTTAATTGCCTTTTGACTATTACTAAAGATATGGTGCGTCGACAGGGGCGCAAGTGGAGGCAATGGAAACTGCTTCACAAGTGTCGGCCGAGTTGGTGTCGAAATCAGTGGAGAAAAGCGAGGCTGCTGCCGCTGGAGAAGGGAGGAAGATCCCTTGTACGTGCCCGCCCAAGACCTAAGCGATGGATGCAGACTGAACTGGACTGTACGTAATATTTTTAGTGTCTTACTAAATATAATTGCAGGGTTTCATACTATATTTTTAGAGAGTTTCAAACAAAAATAGCATATTTCTTTAATTCTTGTCCAACAATAAAACTAAATATTAAAATATTCAACTAATGTTTTGTGTAAAAACACTAGTGTCGAGTAAAAAGTAGTAAAACCATTCGAATATTATTTACTAGTGAAAACGCGTGCGATTAAATTATTAATTACATGGAAAGTTTAAAGTCGTGTATTTTTGCTTGCCTTGATATTTATTATCTCATCCATCCATTCAGACAGGAAAACATATGCATTTTGTCGGTTGTAAATTGTCTAACTAGTCTCGCCTGCTGTGACTGCTGTGGTCAAAACCTCCCTCCGTGCCACTGTTCTTTCCCTTTTCCGTCTTACCAACCCCGATACTGCCCGCCTTATCGCCATGTAGTGTGTGATGTAGTCATTTCAATTTTTCAGGTTATTAATATCATATAAGTCTAGTGGTGTTACAACAGCACATACTTTCTGGCCCCTTAGTAACTGTTCTGTAATAATATTACACCGCAGTTGCTCTTTGCAATTCTCGGAAGAAAAACGCGCAATGACAAAAATGAGATTAGTGTTATATTTCTTACCGTTCCTTATTATATGTCAAGAAAATTTAAAGAAAACATTTGGAGCGGTTTTTGAGAAAAAATTTCGTGTACATTTCAATCGCAAAATACGCTAAAACTAGTTTTTATTCAAAAAATTGCACCTGACCTTTTTTCAATGCTTAATTTTTTACAACAGACTTTGTATGAGACAAAAATCTCTATCTCCAGTTTTGGAGTTTTATATTTGTTTCCAATTTTCGAAAGAGCGGGGATGTCAACGAAAATGAGACAGATACTATTGCTTTAACGTATTTTGCTGTATTCAAAACAAAATTTAATAAAAAATGTTGAGCCATTTTTCTGAAACTTTCGAAAACTTTCCCGGGGGTTTTATGTAAAGTACCCTCCAAAATTAAATATTCGGTTTCAAATTCTAGGGACCATTCCATCAGCTAGAACGATTAGGGAAGAACAATTTTGGAGAAAATTGGCTGAACGCTGGCGCTGAGGAACGGATGTGCTAGTGACGACGCACTGACGACAGACAGACGTTTTGCCATCAATCGAAATTTCAGTATCATGAATTCTATGAATTCTAGCTGCACCACGTGTTAGAAATTTTTTTATATAATTATCAACTAAATTTATCCACTTTTTTTAACCAGGGCCTAACAATAAAAGGTTTTGTGTGGAAAATTTGCTGTTTTCCGGTGCACGATTACAACACTTTCTCTTCTTACATTAGTAAGAGCGAGAAACTAAAAATGTAAACTACACTTGCAAAGATCTGGGACTTAAAGTTTTCAAATTACACCTAAAATAATTTTATATCTTTAACATTATTTTCTTCCGAATGAACTACTTGAATTGCCTCGAAAGGTTTTGCCTCGACAGCATTTTCTTCATATCGCTGTACAGATGATTTGCTACTGGCCCCCAGTACTTGTTGGCGCTTCCCTATTTGTACTGAAACAACCATTGGCATGATTTTTCTCGTAATCCCAACTTGTTTACTTTGAATCTAAGTTGCCCGGGTCACAACGTAATCATTTTCCAAATCAAAATTATTAACGTATCTTTGCAAGTATCGAAAATAATAGAACTCCATGATGTAGGGAATCGATGTTATTCCTTTATTCAACTAGCATCTATTTTTTAGCAGTTTTATTTATTATATACTTATTTAAGGCAACCTCTCAAGTACCTGGAATGATGTATGTATCAAAATTTTCTTATACTCTCGCAAACAAATATTATTTATTCACTTGGATTTCGCTGTTTTCGTGCTTCCACTTTTCACGTTTTGATGTATAATTTTCTGTTTTTACGCCAAAGAAGGCTTTTGCACAGACAAATATAGCTCTTGTGTAAATACAAAAAAAAAGATCAAAAAATTATTTCTAAACCCTGACTATAAATCAAAATTATACCCATTTACAAATATACAAGCCTACTTGTCAGTCATGTTTATACATAATGACAGGAGAAACGTGTATTTTCATCTTATTCAGAATGTAAACAAGTAGCGTGTTCTCTTGTATTTCGCGAGCACCATCTCTATTATGTCTTCAACGATGCGTAATATAGATAATGTTTAAGTTTTAAAATAGAGTGTTGTAGTTTGGGGAGAGCAGTAAGATGACGTATGTGCTCTCGCGTAATGAAGCAATTAACGTCCATAGTAAAAATTATGTGACTTCCGGGAATACAACAATTACATTTTTCACCACAAACAAACAGAAGAATCATGTAAAAAACACTAACTACACCAAAACAATCCTTTGTCACATATGTGTAGTTTTTTATGCGTTTTTGTTTCAATATCTGCATGGAGACAGCGTGAGCTGTTCTCGTTGCATCACTTATCGTTTTGGTGAGTACTTCCAAGAAGTATGTTGCGCATCACGGTGGAAAGATATCGATGGAATACGTCGACGCACCAATTTTTACTCGTTCTGAGCCGCTTCAGTTTGCATTACGAACGTGACCACAACGTGGACACTTCGATTGAACAGCCAAACTAGACGCAGACTGCCATGTTGAATGGAGAGCAAGAAGTGTTGAAAAACATTTCGAAAGTGGCACAAAGTGACAATTTTAAACGAAAAATAACACGGTGACGATGTAATTGAAATGAAAATTGCAATATTTAAAAGAATGCTACTGTATGTTTTAATGTTTTCAATGTTTTCAATTCAATTCAATTGTCAAATTCAATTCAATTTTGTAACAAGGTGATGATTATTTTGGCAAATAGCTACATGTAAAGTTTCCGCTAATATTGGAACGCAAACTGGTGCCTGAAGCTCATTGGCTGAAGTCAGATACGATGCGAAAAAAGCCCCCCCCCCTCCATTGTGGATCTAAATTATGAATAATGCACGGATTTGTATGACAATACCACACTCGACTCTAGGCTTAACGCCTTTCCGTCATCACTTTCGACGATTAGCCTTGGCTACCATTTCAACAAAGCCCTAAGAAACGCTTCCGTTTCCAAGAAATTTCGCAGCATCTATCTGGAACTTCCAGTTGTTTTGCCTGTCGGGTGGCTTGGTTAGTGCAGCTTCTTCGCGGTGAAGTACTTTTCATTTAATTTACTTGTATTAATTTTCCAGATTTTTACCTTCCTCGCGGTGAAACTGTCGCCTTACTCGGAAGTAGCGAAGGCTTGTAATTATGCAATTGAAGTTAGGCTTTAAAATTAAAAAAAAATGCTAACGCAGAATGTGGGAAATAATAATAATAATAATAACAACAACAAATATTATTATTAAATATTGTGATAAGCAAAAAATGTACATTTAGAAAGATACAAACTTACTAATCAGACATGAGTCAAGTAAATTATAACTGAAGAAGTAAGAATCGTAATTATATTGTAGCCGTTATGCCAGTATTCCCTTTAGTGTTTTCCCTGTAATCACCAGTATGACAACTGTAGTCACAGGGAAACAATTCGTTGATTATTATTATTATTAGCCCAATGAAATGGAAAATTGTTAAAAGATACAACATGCAACACTTCACACTCCCATTCGGATTCAACAATGTAAATGCTCTTTCTGCAAAAATTGTTTTCGTCTTTTCGTTACAGGTAAAAGAAGGAGGCTCAAGGAGACTCTTCATTGGAAGAATGAAAAACAATGTGAGGAATTAAGAAAAATATACTAAACATAGCAAAATATCCCTAGACTAAGAAAAATTCATCAAACAAAGCAAAATACGCATAATCTAGCCCTAAAATGAAGAAAACATGGAAATTGTGCATAATTACAATACTGTAAATATCTAAATGCACTTACTGTTTTATCTCCTTTTTTGTTCTTTTAATAACGCTTTTTAAATATGTTAATGGTTATATTTTACACAACATTCTCTCAAAAGTGTAGTTAAAATGAATGATTTTCGGAAAAGAAATTATTAAAAAACAAAAATATGTAAAGTTTAATATATTGCCAATACTAACAAATTGACGAAAGGCTTATCAATAATATTTTGCAAATTAAAACTCATTCAGTAATTAATGCCCTATCTTTTCAAATATTTATAAACTTTTCAATGTATAATTGAAAACTAATGAGGGCCCGATTTGTTTTGGTAATTCTAACATCACATTTAAATATGTTTTCATTTTCAATATGTGTCAGAAGGATAGACTGTAAAGTCTTCGAAATTTTTTACAACAGTATTGAAAAATATTTCTCTCCAATTTACGCCATGAAGTGCATTGCATGCTTTAACAGCATAATAACTGATATAAAACAAACGTATCAAAGTGGATCCATTCTTACCTTTTAATAAATACATGAATCCAAAATTAATGCCACAAAATTAATTAAAATACTCCGAATTTATAATATGTTTGTTACGCTGTAGTCCCTATTAATGAGAACTTATACAGGGCATTATATGGGTATATCAAAGTATCGTGAAAACCACCACGTACACCCCTTTTTATTTGAGGACGTTTAGTGTCTTGGTGTTTTTCTCTAAAAAAATTAGTTATCGACAAAACTAGTTATCGTTACTTTTAGGTACGCCAAAAAACATAAACAAACAAAAAACAAACTCGGCGCTGCATTGCCACACAAGTTGCTTTAAGTGGTTCATCAGTCTTCCGTAATACCTGTCGGAGTCCACGCTTCGAGAATAGCCCTCAATAACTCAACACCTCGAAGCTGCTGAGCGTCTCGTGGCAGAGCGCAGAGTATTGAAAATGCGCCCCAGAAACTGCAAAATAGCGTAATTTTCTCGCAAACGAAATGTTTTCGCGGGGAACCGTTTGCGCAAACACTCTCAAGAACAATAAGGTTCTATGTGATTCTTTGTCAATACAGTACCTCTGGGGCATCCAAAATTAGGTTTCATAAAAGCCTTCGTAATAGACTTTTTAAAATATACATTCGATTCTATATGTGGATATATTTCTTACTGTTTACTTGTGTTCTTAATCGACATTTAAGTGACAAGATAAAGGAAAAGTGTTTTCTGTAAATCATGAAACTGTCAAAAGTTCATCGATAGAATGTACTGACATGCTGATATTACATTTTTTACTCGTACCAGTAATACATAACTGATTCGGAGAACATGGCCAACGTAGATTTATCATTTATCGGCCCACTGTGTGTTGTGAATGTTGTTTTCTCAAAAAGCGAAGGATATGTTGTTACGGTTTAACATCATGGCAGATCACACTTAAATGTTAATAAATTGTTGTGAAAGTGAAACAAAGATAAAAGAACATTCTTAGAGGTAACTTTCTCGCCCTTTTTACTAATAGTTCATGATTGTATACCAGAAGACAAAAGTGTGAAAATTGAAATCTGAATAAGCTAATTCTGACAATTTAATGATAGTATAGCTTCCCTTAAGCATGAGAGTACTCAGCAAAAATTAAAAAAAAAAAAAATTGATTTTTTTTGAAAATATGAGTGAAAATACAATACGTGCGTTTGAAAAGAATACAAAACACAAAGTACGTGCTTTCGCTCTCCCTTTTCCGTTCAGAGAATAAATTAAGTTTCTTAGAACACACTAAGTATCTCGCATACATGTTTCGTCAGGAACTCATCTCATCATTTATCACTCCTCGCCGTTTCCACCCTCTTCGGAACTCATCTCGGTTCTCCATCCGCCGTCCACGTGCTCTGCCCCGTGTGAGTGCGGAAGAAAGTCACGCCGCAGCCTGGGAAATTTATGTGCGGATACCCTTGATAATCAGCCATAAATCGTCTCATGATATTGCGCGTCTCGGCTGCGCGTGAGGGTTTGCGGGAAAGGGAGGAACCAGCGAGCTTCGGGGCGTAACGCTTTCCGTGGAGAAGAAGAGCTCTTCAACCGAAGACTGTGAGCCCGCTAGCGACAGCGAAAAGAAACTTTCGCCCAATATATGGCGTTAAAACGCAATATAGTACACTCGTGAGAGTTGATAGACGATTCCCTTTGGTGTAGGCATGAGTAAAGTATTTTTCTTGTGAAATGCACACAACTTTATGAAAAAACAGTAAAACTAGTGGACGTTTAGTTAGGCAATCAAGATTCCTAAACAAATACTAGACGAATGGTTTAGAGAGGGTAAGAGAAGACGACAAAATTGACAAATGGGCCGAATACACTTAGGGTCGATTGCATGAAGCTTTCAATAGCAATGTGTACTATAAAATTTGAAGGTCCCACAATCCCACAAGCGATAAACAAAACAAATAGGTGGAACCTGTAAATATTAATTCAGTAAGAACTACAAAATGCTAATACTATATGGCCATACGGTCGTTATTCGATTAATGCGTGTCCGATTCGTTTGGCACATTCCAAGCCTCTATTTTTTGGAGAGCAGTATTTCTGTGTAAACGTCCATTGAGGGTGGAATACATTCATACATTCAAATTATTTTAAGGTGTTCAATGGAATTACCAGTGTAAGTTAGTATTGAGTCCAGTCTCATTCAGATTGTAAATGTCACTTGCATCAAACTTGAGTCTAACCATTACATTTTTAAATTATCATAGAACTTTAACACATTTTCTTTATTTAAGTTGATTGCCCTAGCAAGACTAGAGGCCTCTGGTGTAGGTAGGTTAATAATATTTTAGTGATTTTGCAAAATTACGAAATGCGATTGAGTACAATGCTCAAATATCTTTCTAAACAAAAACGATCAGTGTTTTAAGCGTATAGAAAATAACTACTTTAAAAGTAAAACAATTAATATCTTAGATCAGTGATCGCAAAACCGTCGTTAGCGAGCCACTAATAGTTTAGTGTTAGCTTTAGGAAGATTGAAGTCATGCTCCAGGTTGGCTAACTTAGACTTGCTCTACAGAGAGCAAACAAGTACGGTAACAGACTTATTGATGAACATTTAGGCAACTATATTCGATTGTCAGTTACGACCCACTCTCCCGTCATAAGAAACTTGTTAATGACAAAAAAATGGAGAAATCCTTTCACTTAACAGGACTGATAAAAAATCTTTTCTTACATTTATAATTTGTTACTAACTATATTTCAATTTTTTTGTAATGCGCAATTTTATTTCAGTTTATTTTTCTTGTATACATTTTATTAAAATTTGTTTCATATTAATAGAAATGTGTTTTTATAGTTTATTTATTTGAGGCCGCTTTTCAACAACTGGGTCATAAGCGATCACGAGAATCAATTTATAATTTACACAAGACAATACATTTTTTACAGTTATGCCATTACATACAATTCATAGAAGGATATACATGGTCAAAATGTATTAATATTGTGGGTACTTACATAATTGGGATGGGTACATATATTTATTTATTTACATTACACAAGTTTTGATATTAACAACATAGAAGTGTATGTTTATAGACAATAAACATATTAATATTTGAAAAAAAATCTGTCTTGGTTTCTTGGTAGCTCGTAGTACGATTGAAGACCGTATGATTGCTCACAAGCTTCGTGAGTTTGGCTACCACTGTCTTAGATAGTTAAACTTTTTCTACGCGATTTTGGACATGTTTTGGGACTCCGCGCTCGGACCCCCCCCCCTCCCCTCAAAGTGACGACCGCGCTCGGCTTTGTTTCTCGGCCACAGAGACAATCCGGCCTGCGCGTCTCGGATGAGGCGCCGCCGCCGCGAAAAAAAACACCCTGGGCTTCCTCTGTGGGGCGGGTGCGTCTCCAGGGGCCCGACTCGCAGCTGTTTTTTGTCTCCGGGATTCACTCGCCGTCTGAGCGCCCTCCGCTTTTGTTTCTGGGCGCGCGAGTCGCGGTCAATTCCCGGGAGCGGGCAAGGCGGAAGGAAGGGAGAAAGGAGAAGCCAGTAATTACAGCAGGAGATACGGCACGACGCTATGATGACTTCTTAAAGCGGAGTTTTTGATGGTTAAACATTTCTAATGATTATATGAGTCGGCATTGCCAACAATATTGTTTATTAGAATAGCAGCTTTCGATGGCTTAGCCATCATCAGTTTTCTGCTGTATGGAAGCCACAAAACGAGTCTAGCCGTCGACTAGTCAATCAAATTTGACATCTCTATTTGATGTGTGTGATGAAAATTCACTCCACAGAAATCTGGTGGAATTGTTTTTCCCTGTTGCTTTTTTACTATTTTTGCTTAGTGAATTATTTTCTTGTCAATTTCTGCTAGTGCAGATACACCAAAATGTTTCATATGGATAGAATATTCAGTGAGTATTATTTGAATAGAACAACGTAACTTACTATTATCGTACGTACAAAATTAATAAATTGAACAATTAAAACAAGATTTATCGATTTATTCGTTACCACAACCTGCAATATACGTTTTCTATCTCAAATTCGTCCTCTTTCGGCGCATGATTACAATACTTTTCTTTTTACGACGTAAGGGTCAGAGAGTAAAAACTGTTGCTTGAAGTCTGACTGAAACATTTGATTATTTTTTTTATCATAGACAGATGGGTTTCGTTAAAGCTTCAATTTTCTTACTATTGTGCACTTCGAGAGTGAGCGAAATAATCATCAGGAAATCTCGCGGCTCATCGGAAACATCTGCTGGCGTGGATTCTAGGGCGGCGCCTTCCAATGTAAAAGTTGCAGAACGTAATATTCTCACAATAGACTCGTTTAGTTTGTGTTCACCACCACCGAAAGCTTAGAGAAAAGAACACTAAGTTTTTCTTGCGACAAGATAGAAAAA